TCAATATGTGATTTCAGACTTGATTACTCCAAGTACATTATGTCATTAGTTGTTTCTATAACACACACAAACACACACACACACACACACACACACATATACATACACATATTAAACCCATCCAGTGATCTATGAATTTTCCACCCCCTCCTACTGGCGTGTGTTCTAAATATATATCTTGAATTTAGCTAGATTTTAACTCCAAGAGTCTGAATGTCAGGCCAATGGCAGGCACATTGTTATTTTGCCAAAATGAATTGCAAATGATTACCATTATTGCTTATATTTTATATGTGTATTATTTTATATGCGATAGCAGAGGTGTAGACTCACAGTGACTCTAGACAACTCGACTCAGCTCGCAGCTAATGTGAACGCAATTTATTCTCAGCAGGTTGACACTTAATTCTCCAGATGCACTTAGTTTGAAACAATCCGACAGCCTCCAATCACGTTGCAGGAGAGAACCACGAAGAACTAACTTTGTGTTACTGAGCGCCAGTTGGAAAAAATGAAACAAAAGATAATGTTTTGTTCGTTCCATTGTTGTTGTTGTTGAGCTAATTATGACTGGTTTGGGATTCTAAACTCAAATTTTAGGACTTGGGACTCGTTAGTCTTGACTCAGACTTGAGTGCAAAGACTTGAAACTTATCTGTGACTTGCAAAACAATAACTTGGTCCTACCTATATGAAATAGTGACCATTGGATCAAAAGTGTAGTAACTCTCAAAAACTAGACAAGCACTGGACTGCTTATACAAACTGGTGGTAGTAGTCTGTAAACCATTATGTTTTCCATATATGCCATTCTCTGTAATCAGTTAATTTATTATCCGTTGACCGGAGAGCAGCTGGGGCACAAGCTTTTAATTGTATGGAAATGTGTTGGTGGCATTTTAAAGCACATGACAATTAATTACCTTAACAATGGATGGGCGATTAAATGTTATTACATACAGCAGGTGTGTAATGCTCGGGAGTCCACACATTTATGATCATGTTGTATATGCTGTTGTATTTAAGCAGCCAATGTCTGCTGCTGCACCACTGACCTGAAAGCTTTTCTGTAACTGCTAGTGGCGCTGCTGCTGTTCATACACCATTTCATAAGCTTAACCTCCACCCCGGCATCCACCTGTAGTACTGTTCTAAAGTGGTAAAGTTATTATGATCACTCCCCAATCTCTGCTGCGCTGAGCTTTTCGTGTCATTGTGGTGAGTGACAAGGTCAGAGCCTAGACACCAACTATCAACTGCTGCAATGACATTTTGCTTTCATTGTTTTATGTTACGTTATGTTATGGTATGTTATGGTATGTTATACATGTTTGTAATGCATGGAGGAAATCTACCTTTTTTTATTTGTGGTATGAACTGCTCATCAGCTTCCCATGCCAACTTCTGCTGTACTTGTTGCCATGACAGTTTTGAATCTTGAATTTTGCGTTGTTCCTAAAAATATACAGTACAACTCGGTGTATCACAAGAATGTCAGCATCAGTCTCTTCGGGAAGTCAGTTTTGCTTTTTGTGTGTGTGTAGTTGTTGTAGTGTAGGTGTGCATAAACCTGGTAAATGGTGTTTTGGGGGATTTGCTGCACATATCTGAGTTGTGTGTGGGTGTTTTAATCTTGTGGCTCCATCCATCCACACAGCGCTGTTAAAGTTCATTCAGAGAGCTATTGTTTATAATGGCTGGACTGAATCTCCACTATTCCCTAAAGTTTCAAACACTAGTATAAACATTTTAATGTTAATGTTTTCCTTGTTTTTTCTGATGGTTTTTTTTCATGCAAGAGGCACAGTGTGGAGATTTCTGTGAAGGTCTACCATTGTAAGATCTTCCTTTTAGGACAGGAGTAGACTGTAATTTTATAATACGTAGCCCCATAATAACCCTGTTATTTCCTGGGTTGAACCCCCTGTGTTTTCAATTAACCTGCCAGTGCATCTGACTTTACAATGCAAACTTCCATTAATTCACTTTTATGCTTCAGCATTAGCCACCCTGTTAAATCTAGTCATTAAAAAGTAATTTATCAATTGAATAAAACTTAGATTGGGTTGAAATTGAACTGAATAATTCATTGAAATATTTGAATTTGTAATTGTGTGCCTGCGGTATTGAGGTTGTAGCATGTATTACACCATGTTATGTCGATGCCAGATGTGCCCGGAACTCAAGTGTTGTGATTCTTAATGGATTATCGAAATTGCGCCAGTGAAGCCACAGGAGATTTGAGCCTTACATATTCAGCCACACACGCTCGGATATCTACTGCAAATCCCCAAAAGCATCATTTAACTGGACCCCTGCACATGCCACACAGCTACTACTACTCCACTGAATGAATTAGTGTTGAATATAATGATTCATTTCATGAATTGGTGCAAAATTACCCACACTTTCAGTCAGTTGCAAAATTCCAGTCTTCTTGTGTATGTGTGTGCAGGCATACTGATCTTAACGGTGATGACACTTGAAACAGAGAGAGGGCTGGGCGCATAAAGGCTGAATGCGTTTGTATGTCAGCATCTGTGGTTTTGTGTACATGCCAGTGTGTGTGTGTGTGTGTGTGTGTGTGTGTGTGTGTTAGGATGTGTATTTGTGTATATGCCCATGTGTGTTGACAGATGAGTGATGCTCCCGGCATTGTGCGTCTGCTGTATTGTTGGTGTGTTTCCTCCAACGCAGCAGCACAGCGCAGATCATATCATACTCTCTAAGCTATGGCTACACCATACTTAACAACACACACTCAGGGGAAAAGAGAGGAGGAAACAGGAGGACGGTCGGGGGGCTATTCTTTTTCAGTCAGGGTACTTCTTTTTTCAAAGGATGATTAACGCAAATTATGTGTGAAAAAATACTACGAGTGTTCTCATAAGTAGTAGTGTGAAGTAAACAACAAAAAACACACCACTTGAGCCTTCTTCTAATGCACAAATTGCCACTGTTTAATCTTTGACTCCGTCGCCTGCATAATTTTATCCACACACGTATTATATAATGGCTGTTTGGAAATGTGTTGTGTATGTGTGTCATGAAACATGTAGGCCAGGATGAGCTTAGGATGTCGCTACAGTTCACACTGCAGCTCTGTGACTCACTTCGGCTCTCTTCTGGTTGACTAAACACAGCCCCCCCCCCGCCCCCCCCGCCTCACTGGACTTGACTCATCGTGACTTGCTACAAATGTGCATCCTCCTGCATGTTATGCAAAACTCTCTTTTGAGGACTGAACACGGGTTGATTTATTAAATATTTTTACAACGCTATTTTCAATTTCACCTCAGCGTTGCTTGCGTTCGAAGAATGATTCATATACTGACATATCTCTTTGGACGTGTCATGTTTTTTTTACACCAATGTGTAAGAATAAAACGTGTTCACCTATTTTCTGTTATCAGCACATTTTCTGTCACGCTTCACATCATATAAATTTAGATGCACCCAGGAGGAATTGGTCTTAATAGATTTAAAGCAGTCCACATCTCTGTAGCGGTTTGATGTTCAACTCTTAAATCCTGTAAAGGGTGCATAAAAGGTGAGAGGTGGTGGCTGATGGGATATGGTGCAGTAATCTATGTGGTACTCGCCCCTCATGTGGAAAAAAACCCAAATTATGAGTCACTCAGAAATAGTTGAGGTTCAAACGAGATATAGCCATATGAGTGGTTCAGAGTGACGCTGAAACGCAGCCATTCAATGGCATAAAGGTCAAGGAATACATTTCCATCAATCGAGATAGTATCAGTGCTAACCAGATCTGTACTGAAAATGGAAGCTGACATTTTCTTTAAAACCTCAATGCTAAATGAGCAGTCAAATCTGATAAATGGGTTAAAGAAAGTCTTTTAAGGAACCAATTTAAAACAGTATGGAGGTACGGTAGGTCTGTATTTTCTTCTTCTGCAGTTTTCTATTGCCAAGCTGTTCTCCTTAGTGTGGTGCAGACGTGTGTGGGATTTTCCTCTCCGTTGAATAATCTTCTTTCTCCTTCTTTGTCATCTTCTGGCTGTTTTTTTTTTTTTTTTGAAGTAAAGCTAACAGTGCAGACGCAGCCGGCTGCTGCTGCTGCTGCTGATGGCATTTAGCAATTGTGCCCTTCTCATGCCTTGAAATAGGGAATGCATAATGAAGCCAGACATAGGGAGGAGATGTTTGTTTAGGCATAAGAAGTGAAAGAGACACAGAAACAAATAGCACAGAGCGGTAAAGAAAATTGTGTGAAAACTGTATCTACTGGAAGGAGTGTATTTATTTCTTATGTGACACCTTCATCATCAATGCTAGGAAGTCGAGCTTTGCCAGAAGTGTGTGCGGACTATACAGATGCAATCAATATAATCCATCATTTTGGTATTCTTAGTAGTTGCTAATTTACATGTTGATGCTACAGTGCCCTTTAGTGAAATCATTAGAATAATCTTACTTCAGTAATAATAATTACAGATCCTATTGCAGAGATGAAAGGATGATGAAAAATGCATCTAAAAAAAAAAGACTGCAACCATTACCTCCACATACTACTGAGGAGCGACACATTCCAGTAGAGGGAATTATTTGACCAATTTAATCAGTTGATCAGTCCTTCTCCTCTCCTTCTTTCTTTGTGTTCCTACCATCCTACCTGTGATGTTTCACCACAGTGGATTAGATTACAGATCAACTCTGCCCTCCATTATCTCATCATGCTTTTAATAGCAAAACATTGGCATTAGCACATTCTGACAGTGGGGAGTTCTTTTTCCAGTTCTATGAGAACGAACCCGCTAGAAAATGTATCGGCAGTGTCACATACGTGAGCAGAGGGATAAGGGATGAAAAGGAAGACAGGTTGAGAAGAAGCGTGGTAAAGATGGATGGTTGGTTGCAGAAGGAGGTTGGGCTTGCAGAACAGGGTGGATGGTGTTTCCATCTGTGAACTCCACCTTATGCACGCACGCAGGAAACCCCTTCCAGTGGTTGCACACGGCACGCAGGGCTACAAGGCTGCAGCACGACACACACGCGTAGCCTGTGATGTAGGAGGATGATGACAGGAGAGAGGAGGGGGAGGGGGAGACAGCGTGCCGAGTTAGAGAGTGAGAGAGAGGAAAAGGGCAGAGGGAGCGTGAGCGCGTGAAAGGGTGAGATAGGCAGAGAGAGCAGCATCTCTTGAGCGCATTCAGCTCGCAGCAGCTCAGGAGGCAGGAAGGCAGAGTAGAGGGGAGGAGAGCACCAGCACCTCACCGAAGGGGGCGACACCACACCTCTCTCTCTCTCTCTCTCTCTCAAACACACACTCTCACACGTCACAGATTTGTGAGGAGGCGTGAGGCACAGGAGGAGGACCACCACATACACGCGCGCTGTTTAGCTGGCTTAGCTGTGCTTTGGAGAGCTGTCTCTTGAAGACTGGACCAGAGCTGTATCCATCGCTTCATCCATCCTTTCTTTCCTTCCTGCTTTCCATTCCTACAACACAGAAGCAGCTCTTGGCCACCAACCCCCTCGAACATTTGGACTGATTTGCTCTCTGTCATTCATCTAACCTCTGATCTCTCTGTAACTATCTCTGCCTGTCTCTGCTTTTACTCCATTCACAGCCAGGACATCAAGAGACACACTTAAAGAAGAACTAACCGACCGACCTTTCGATCGCAATCATGAACTTCCTCCGACGCCGTCTCTCGGACAGCAGCTTCATGTCCAACCTTCCCAACGGCTACATGACAGACCTCCAGAGGCCCGACCCGCCTGCTCCTGTTCCTCCCACCGCCTCCTCTCCGTCCCAGCAGGGTGCAGCCCCGGCCATGGCGCCTGCTCCTGCCCAGTCCCCAACCAAAGCTCCAGCACCATCCCAGGCGCCAGCCAGCTCCCCCGCAGCTCAGGAGCGTCGTATGAGCCAGCAGGCTCAGCAGCCTCAACAGGCCCAGTCCTCCTCCTCCTCCGGTGGCTCTTCTGGTTTCTTCAGCTCCTTCAGCTCCATCACCAATGCAGTCAAACAGACGGCTGCGTCCGCCGCCGGGTTTGTGGAGCAGTCAGCTCCCTCTCCCTCCCTCTCCAAGAAGTTCAAGATCCTGTTGATCATCGATGAGCCCCAGCATGAGTGGTGAGTATTAAGATGCAAGTGACTTTAATGATGGGTTGAGTGTAGTCCAACTGACTGGTGGGAAGTTGATGTAGTCGGTGAATGTGTGAACTGGCACGCTGTTTCAGAGTTTATGGGATGCTCTACAGATTTGGTGTAAAAAATGTTTGCTTTATAGTCAGCCAGAAGGAACAAGATCTACTGTGTGGGTGCACTGGCCTAATGCTGATTGACTTCTGTAAATATGATTGATTTTAATCTCACATGAATCCTGAAATGAATTCTTACATCCTTATGTCTTATTCTGTTTCTTTTTGTTTTTTGTTCTACGTCTTTTTGAACTGTATTCTCCCCTCTCACTGAAGCTGCTCCCAAAATAGAAACCATTCTGTTAATCTAAACAGACAGGACAGATTTTCTCTGGGGTTTAGATTCACACATCCCACCACCCAGCACTGTCACCTGCCTCTGTTTTTATGTGTTTATCTGAGCCTTTATGACGCCATGTGTTGGCACATTTGTGTGTGTGTGTGTGTGTGTGTGTGTGTGTGTGTGTGTGTGTGTGTGTGTGTGTGTGTGTGTGTGTGTGTGTGTGTGTGTGTGTGTGTGTGTTTGTGTGTGTGTGTGTGTGTGTGTGTGTGTGTGCTAGAGAGCTATGAATAAGTTTTTCAATCCCTTGACAGCACAAGTTGGGTAACAGGATATTATCCTTATGCTATCAACTCATACACTGTCATTCAAGAGCATGTAGCTCTGAGTAAAACATCACCTTCTACAAGTGAAATTTAAGCCCTCAGCTCTGTAATAATGTTGCTATCCTATTGGCCGCTTTCCGTTCCTGCAAATCACATTTTCAGGCTGCAAAGGTTTTCTGTGCGGATGTTGTTGATGGATTTTACAGCCATTCATTGCCGTCATTATCTCAGTGTAGTTCATCTTGTCAATGGCTATGTGATAAACACGAGACACTTTTGACCTTTTAAATTTAATAGATGTTATGGAGTGTCATCAGATGACAATTGTTTAGTATTCCACATACAACTGAGTGTGTTTACTGTTTCACACCAAAACCATGTGATATGGTCAAAAGCAGAGTGAGTGAGTAAGTGGACCTTGAGTTGCGATTGTTGCTGTTTCCAAGGTCAAAAAGGAAGTGGAACGTTTTTAAGCCTACAAGGACGAAAGGTCCTAAAGGGGTTCAGACTCTAGAGTTCAGTGACAACTGAACAAACTCCATCTGCGGATGATGCGATCAGTTTGCCAGCTATGAATCAATAAATTAAATTGAAAATACACCTTGATAATTGCAAAGATAGAATTGCCAATTCTAGTTCAGTAAAAATGTTGACATATAAATATATTAAAACATGCTTTAGTGCCTAGAAAGGATAAAAAATACATCCCTCTTTGGGAGCTTGCCCTAGTAGGTGTCTGATACTGAGATTTAAGTGTCTGCAAAATGAAAAATGCAAATACAACACAAGCATTGTCACCGTTATGCATTTTGGCTCAAATTCCGTTCTCTTTAAATGGCTACTGTGCAGTATTTCAATTCCATAATACTGTCTGTGCATAACACTATCTGTATTGCTGGCATCTGTTTTGACATAAACTGGTGCCATGTACCATTGTACAGTAAGTGTAAGTTCTGTCTGAGTTACAGACACTGGTGCATAAAATGGACTGAATTGTTTTCACAGTTTAGTGCAGTGGATATGATTTCCAAAACAATCAGCACAGGATTATATCAGAAACAGTGCATTATGCATATGTGGATACATGCATGAGTTCTGAGGTTCCACAACACTGTGCTGACTGAATGTGACTGTCAGCTCTACATTATGGTAATCCTGAATCTCTTGCTGTGAGTGTTTTGGTGGCTTATGATTGAATGGCTGCCACCATCGTTATGTGGCAAAGTCTGGATGCAGCCTACATTCAGAAAAGAGGTGCTTGAATGCTTTACCCAATACAATCCTGCTTTTATGAAATATGTTTGGTTTGACATCGTTATGGTTCGTTGATCTGTTTGGTTGAAGTTCGCCTGTGATAGACGGTGATACACAGATTGGTCATGCAATCACATATTTTTTGAAAGCCCTTTTCCAAACTGTTTCCAACGCCGACTTCCAAGATGGTTCTGTGTAACCAAACATCTGGCACAGTCAGGTTACATTTGAATTGTAAACTGTCAACTCTGAATGGAAATAAATTAAGAGAGGTTTGGGTTTACTGTCAAACAGATGAGCAAGTGCAACAACTCTAAATAAAAAAAACATTTGAGAGTTAAAGGTGCTGTAGGTGGCTAACTTCCTGTCTGCTCTTGCAGTTCGCAGTCCCCTCCTTCCTACCCACGTCACCACTCTGAAATTAGGGGCCGATGCATGCAGAACCAGCCGATCAAAAAGTGGATTCAAGCAGACCTATATACCTATATATAGTGGTAACGTAGTGAAACCCACCTCTTGCTGGCTTTCGCTAATTGTGACAATGATGCAACTGCGCCCTGTGCTGAAATGTTGACAGTATTTATACTTTTATGTGTAAAAGGAGTACATACAGGCTCACCATGCCATTGGAACCAACCATAGAACCCAAAATGGTTTTGCAGGTACCACGTTTTGTTGAGGTGATCCACCAACAATGTGGTTTGACTTACATGATGTGCTGCAATTTTACAGCAGGAGATATAATTACTCTAAATTTGTGAGAGATGCATAGTTTACAGTGACTACCAATCCTAGTTACAATACAACTGTGTACAAAGTGAATGCATGTTAGCAAAGAAACCACACCAGATAAATTGAGTCCTGAAATACATACAAGTATGTTGCTGGGCAAGGTCAACTTCTATGATGCCAAGTAAGTAATGTAATTTAACAATTAAGAAATGTAATGCAATCAAGTTGCAACTTCTCTAGCATTATTTCCAGTTATTATTTCAAGTCCAAAGAGCTCAACATAAATATTAATGTTAATTCTTTGGGACAGAGCTTCCCTTAAAGCATCTGGGCCAGAAAGGCATTCTGCTAAATGTTATTATTGATTTTCCACTCAGTACAGAGCGGGACTTGAGCCTCTCAGTAATATAACTTGGAAAACAGAAATCACACGAGAAAAAGTGTAATGATTCTGTGTGCCCTTCACATCAAGGCTATATTCTGATCAGAAATAAGAGGACATGCCTGTCTGTTTGATATTGCTGGTTTTTGCACACACAAAAATAAATACCGCATCAGCCTGAAGACAGACTTTTACTTGGTGATCCTCCTCATCATGAAACATTTCATTTTGCAACGCAAAGTTCATGGGCAAAATGAGTGCACATTTGATTTCTGAGATTTAGGATGCCATTAGTTGGAGGGAAAAGTTATAACCTCTACTTTACATCAAATTACATTCATTTGGCCAATAATGCGTTCACTCTGGCCCTGATCATTACAAAATCTTTGGGCAAACTACTACTGTAACATCCTTGTATGATTTATAAACTCTAACAGTTTATTTGTGTTTGGTTTATAAACCAAACATTAATAAACACTGGGAAGTATATTTGGTACATAAGAAGTTTCTATGAAGCAATCCCAGTTAACCTATACACGATGATGAATTATGAGCAGTTTGATGTACAGATTGATGGAGAGGCTAAAAGGGATGGGCAGATTCTTATTCCATGCCCTAATTTAAACTTGCTTTTCAACAACATTAGCATTAAATGTGCATTGGGCATACATTGCTAATTGAGGGTAACTAGACTTGCAGTTACAAATATGCAATAGCTCTAAATAACGTTGCCATCCCCTTTTAAAATAGCTGGCAGTTGTATAAGCAAGTATCATGACACTCTGCATCTGACAGCTCATTCTCTGAGTTCTCCAATATCGACTTTGCTACCATGATGGCTTTCTCTGACTCCACAAAAGGAGACCACAATGGGACTCCAGCAATAAAGCTGCAAGATGAAAAAGTAATGTTTTTTTGCAGTGTGTGTGTGTGTGTTGATGTAGTTCTTATGTAACAGACCCCAGCCCATTGAGGTGGGTGAGGGAACAGATAGTGTCCTCCAAGGCCTTTCAAGGTGATCTCGGCACATAGGGGAGGGTTGAGGGAGATAGAGGGTGAAGATCTGTGAATCTCCCTGCATCGCTTTCTCTTTCCTGTTTATTTTTCCTCCGTCCCATCTCTCTTTGCTGCCTCTCTCCGCCTTTTATCATGACAGTCTCTCTGTGTGTGGCTCCAGAGAAAGTGCTCCGGGTTCATGATGTGATGAAGTAATGAGAAGAGACGTGGTGATTCAGCAGTTTCAGCCCAAAGGCCACATCTGCTCTCTTTCCTTTGGTCTCTTTATCTGTCTACATCTCTCCTGCTCCCTCTTTTTGCTCTCCCTTTCTTTATCTCTATTTATCTGTTGAGGATGTACTCTGAAGTTTCTGCCTGAGTTACGGCGAGTGTCTTTACCCTGTATTTTGCGTAAATGCCCATCAGAGGGAATTATTTTGGACTGTTGACTTTTCGATATGAGTCATAGTGGAGGGTTTTGTTGGTTTGACTGCAGGTTGATGCACATTTCTCTGACGAGGATGATGGTGAATGTCACCCAGCTGCCCTGCAGTGAAAGTTAAACTGCTTTAACTGGCTGCTATTTAAAAAGCATACTGATTAGCCAACATTGGGCCAAGATTTGAAGCTGCTTCAAAGAAGTCATGGTGGTATGAAAATCATGTCAGTAATTCTTACTGCATCAGCACTTGCGAAATTCAGTCTTTTTTTTTGGGAAGCATAAAAACAGAAAAATAAGAGAAAATATGCATGATATTTCTTTCAGGGTTGTTTGTTTTCCTGTAGTTGCACAGTAGAAAATATGCACATTTTTGCTATTTTGACAATGACCTGAATTGAATGTAAACAAGAGCGTTAGATCCGGGTGTGTCTGTGTGTTTGCATTCGTGCAATTTCTCCCTTGCCAGTGGAGACAGGAGTGCACAGTGAGAGCAGGTGGGGAGGTGGAGCCTCGCATATCT